TATCTTTTATTTCCGTTTAAAATACCACGGCTCAAGATTTCTAGTTTTCGTGTGAAATGTGAAATATCATCATTGTTTTTTTTTTTTTTTTTTTTTTTTTTTTTCTGTATTTTGCCCTTTTTTTAGTACGATGAATTACACAATTTTGCAGTTACCTAATGATGAAGAGGCTGCCATAAGATTCTTTCAGGATAAAGGAATAATTCATAGCAACAGACTTTGTTCTAAAAAATCATTCGATGAAGTTAACCTTTTATTCAAACAAAGCTCCTATATGGCATTGTTACCTACATTCTTGCTGTAATGAAAAGGATTGAAAACGAAAACATGATTAAGATAAAATAACACGCTGAACAAGTATTAATTTAGAAGTCAAACAACAAAAATCAGCATTATATTTTCAAATTTTTCACAGTAAAATTTGTATGAAAATTTGAAAATATAATTTTAACTAAAATTAATTTTAGTTAAAATTATATTTTCAAATTTTCTAATTAACTAATTAAATTAATATTTTTGATTTTTAACTTCTAAATTAACCAAAACATGGTTTGAAGGCTTGCGTCTTTCCTCAACGCCGTTTGTTTCAGCTATCTGTAGTGTCAAGAATTGATATCGATTGAATTTTGCAAACTTCAATTAGAAATGAGCCATAATACAATAGTAGACTGAAATAACTACTTGATGGAGGTATGTGCAAATAGTTTGAAGTCTCATAAAAGAATTAAAATCAGTGGAGTCAACAAAATTGTAGAAACAGACAGAAGTCTTTTTACAAGAAGGAAAAACAACATTGGATGTGTTCTTCCGGAACTATATGTATTTGGATGTTTATACAGGGAAAACAAAGAATGTTTTCTGGTTGCCATTCCTGATCGTTGTGCTACAACATTGATGACTGCCATTCAAGAAAACATCGCAGATGACAGCATTATATTTTCAGACTGCTGGAAAGGACAAAAGCAAGAACTAAGAAATGTTCGGTATGAACATTTCACTGTGAATCACAGCTATAATTTTGTAGACCCCGAAACTGGATCCCATACTCAAACTGTGGAGCGATTGTGAGGCAGTGCTAAATGGAGAAATAAACGTTAGCGGGACACTGCTCACCACCATTTAGAATCATATTTAATAGAATTTATATGCCGTCGACTATATTCAAGAACTCAAAATTTTTCTCCATTATTGGATGATATTCGTAATTTTATGCCACCTGTTTAGGTTGTATTTCATTTTGTTTTGTATTTTTTATTTATGTGTAGAATATTCTAAGTTACAAAATTAAAAAGAAAAATTGACTTTCTTTAAGAATTAAGAAATTTTAAAAAATTTATCTTTTTACAGAATAATTTTTTTTTTATTCTTTTGAACTCTGCTATTATTTTATAATTTAATACTTAGCAAGAATTGGCAGCAAAAAAATGTGGTGAATTTTTAGCTAAAGCTGCTCTAACAGAAGAGTACCGACACTTTTAAACTAGAACTAAATAAAAATGTAATTTTTAACATGTTCTCTGTACAAGTATAAAACTGTGATAAAATACTGGGAACTGCACACTAACAATTATTTATAGAATGAAAATGCACATGGCAAAATATCATTTGATTGGATGCCTTCATGTTCCAAATTCCTGTGTTTTTTTCCAACTAAACATGTTACAGAAAATAATAAAAACCTAAAAATTTGTTGCATATTCAGTTAGTTATTAAACTATAAAGCTCAAATTAAAATGTTCCAAATGAAATTGGTGTATTGGTGTTGGTGTATTAATTATGGCAAAGCTCACTAGGGCTATCTGCCTAAGGGGAGGGATGCCTTCGTGGAGGACTTTCTAAGGGAAACTGGCTTGTATACACGTTACACATGGGGAAAACCACGAAAACACCCATGCAGCCCGTTCGCGGGATTCGAACCTCGGACCGAACTACCAGCGTTCAGCGACTTTACCGCTTGGCCGCTGGTGGGCCCCAAATGAAATAGTCTACAATTACATAAAAATATTGCAAATCAATTACAATACAGATAATCACTATGCAAAGTACAAAATTATCTTCTTCACCTTTACCTCTTAACTTTTACCTAAATTCTACAGAAATAACAAAACTAAACATCACAAAATTGGCTGGGTTATCCAAGCATATTCATCACGTGTCTGGTAATGAAATCCTTGAAATATTGCAGTCAGATAATCTTAATATTATTATTAGCATTTTCACAAATACATATGTGCAGAAACATAAGTGTAGTGGCTACATTGCTGTGTTCACACTGTAACTTAAGCTAAGCTAGGTAAATTAATATAGGCATGCTGAAAATATCAGTCAGTTCTGCCATCAATCAATCCTTTGAATGTTCATATTGGAGAACAGAGACATCTAGCTTCTAAGTAAGGCAAATCTTATTGCAAACTGTGCAATAGAAAAGCAAAAAAATTTCAAAATTTAAAAATATAATTTCTTGAAAACAGCATTTAGAGCCCTCTTCCAACTGGGCCCTGGGCTCTACTTATAGCACTGTTTGTGAACTATATTTATGGCCAGTCTTTTGAAAGAGTAATTTTACAGTATTCTAGTATGGAATCCAAGATAATCTGAAATCACATGCCGAGTTTTATGTTCTTCCAAAAACTAGATGGGAAAGTAAATTCTGGAGTGTTAACATAACTCCTCTTGCTAATATGTCTTAACAATATATATTTATGAAAAAGAGTGATCCTCAAAATTCTGTTTTAACTTATTTAGTCCTAGCTATCAGCCAAGCATGTAACATCCTAAAAGGATAAGTCTGAAAAAATTCTGGCCGATGTACTTCTCCCCCCCCTTTCAAGAAGCTTTTTAAGCTCTATATGCATAGTTTATTTTCCTTGATCTTCACAGATATTCAGATCTGACTGAAAAGGGACAGAAGGGAAAAAAAAAACTATTTAATTTTCTCTTGCTGCTTAATACTTGGCTTTGATTACATTAAGAATAGGGATCCTAAGAAAACAGTATTTTAAACGACTATGTTTGCTCTTCATGCCAACCAAAAAGGGGTAAAAATGTAATACTCATCTTTTAAGATGTTAACTTTCAAGACTTTCCCATGGGGAATAGGTTAAGGAACATATAATTTATATGCAACAGAAAAAATTCTATTGTTCTTCGAGAATAGCTTTTATTACCGTATATTTAATGTAATATTTCAGCATACTGAAATTTTTCTGAAGATATCATCAGTTGGCAAACAGATTGCATTCTGAAGTATAACTTAATTCAGATATCTTAATTTTTCATGAATTTCCTTTTATAATAAGTAGCATGACTGTGTTTGTTTTCTGTGACTTATGCTGATGTTGTACCATTTTTTTGAGTAATTCTAACTTGATTTGTTTTCACTTTATGTTACCTGAGAATAATGACAGAATAATTTATCTATTGCAGAATGTGTCTTACCACTCTTTTTATTGTCATTACATCTGTATTCATGTTAATATTTGGTAGATTTTCAATGTTTTGTATGGCATTTTTTAATCCAACGTCAGCCAATTATTTTGATGTTGCCATGTGTGTGTTTTGGATAATAAATACCAATGACATTTTTTTAGTCATTTAAATTAGTGACCTTTAAGTAACTTATAAATATCTGATTTCTAAGAACTTATAAATAATCTGAATCTTGTAATTTGAACTGTATTTTTATTTAAAATAAATTTTAACTATTCTATCACATCTAGCATATCATTGATATGGTAACTTAATATTACCTATTATTATACTACCTTTTCAAGTATCATCATCTGTGATTAATTAAATATAAAATCTTAACAGTTTAATTCAATAAAATACAAACTTGCTAAGATGTGTATAGATTATAAAAACATTATTAAAAAATATACTGCACAGGGTTAAATGATTCAAATCTTTTAAATACCTAGACGTATCCAAAGATTTTATTTTATTTTAGTAGGTTTCATTATTTGTTCCACTTGTCTTGATAAATTTTAAAATATACAGATCTTAAAGTTGTATTTGATGTTATTGAAAGCATGGATTAAGGAGTTGTTCTAGTTGTTTGCCTTTTATCTTAAGTCCTGGAGGTCATAAATCTTACCATGTTACATATTGTTTGGGGCTTATTTTCCAAACAAAAGTGTATGATGAAAAATCTCACAAAATAAGACCTTGAGGATGAGATATAACTGTCTCATACTGTTCTCCTGTGGAAGGTAAAATAAGGAGTTCCTAACATGCATAACTGGATTGGTCCATCTTTCTCAATCTAGGTGCTAGGTAGAACCCACCAGTAGTCAAGTGAATAAGGCTGCAGAGCATTGGTAATTCAATATAGGTTTGAATCTCAGTGAATGGGCTGAATACATGGTCATTTTCATGAATTTCCCTATATATAATAGAAATACGAGTTAGTTTTCCTTAGAAAGTTCTCCACAAAGGGTCCTTAACTATAGTTAAGTAGCCTTCATGTGCTTTGCCATAATCAGTTAAATCAAATCAGGCATTAGAATTTTTTTTTTTTTTTTTTTTTTTTCAGATTTTCCAAGTCTACAAAGACATTTGTCATTTCACCATTTTGACAGTTGAATCATTTCAGTATATTAATAACTTTTCAATAATGTTTTTAAAATCCTGATGATCTTCTTCAGTGATCTCATATATTATGAAATAAAACTAAGTCATCTGTTTTATATAAGTGTGACTATGAATATTAATCCAAATATTATGAAAAATAATCAGATTTATTTTTATTACTAAAGGAATTATTCATAAGGTTAAATGATGTTCTTCTCTGAAATATAATGTCATTTTGGTAAGGTAGTATCATAGTTATTTTTCAGCAGCCCCCCAAAAATTAACTATCTTAAGATGGCAAGGAGTTATAATTTTGTCTAATGCTAATCTAATTTTAACTAATATTTCTCAATGCTTTCATTTATGCAGTTATATTTTTATGGATTTCTTTTGGCAGTGGAAAATAATAAATTATTTTTTTGACACAGCCACATTTTATGTCAATGTCACAAGTTGTTCCTACTTCTGTGCAGTTTGCTGTTTGTGAAAATCAAAATTTAGGTAACTATTTCCTTGTTCCCCATTTCTCCAAGTTTTATCTTCTTTGAAAGTTTTATCATTCTGAGTTATTACTGAGTGAATGACTTAAATAAAGAATTTATTCCTTAATATAATGTGCATTTTGAAAATAATAATAATAATAATAATAATCACTCTTTTCAGTATATTAGTATGACTGCTGCGTTACAAAAATATAAAATCTTTGCCACAGCTGTGGTACAGCTTTTGAACAACTAATTTTCCTACCCCCATTCTGAAATAAATTTGCTTTTCTTATATGCCCAGATTGGTCCCCTTGACAAGAGGATTTCATCCTCTTTGGTCCGTGAAATGAAATTTGGTAACATTGACGAATAAAGCTGTAAATTAAGATGATGATGTATTGCAAAAATAGAAATTTGCTTTTTGAATAAAAAGTTGTAGAAGAAAACATTGCTTCAAATACTATTTTATACTCTGTAGGATATGTTGGTTTGAAGTTGGAATTTCATAATAAAGAAACAGAGTATGATATTTTTCAGTTTTTTCCATCACTAACAAAATCTAAAATGTTTTAAAGGAAGAGATAAATCATTGTACTGAACAAGTGCTACAAGTAGAGCATAATATTTAGGAGGAATAAATGTATAATCATAATGGCTGCCGACAAACTTGATTCTGAAATTCTTTGGGTTATTTTTGTTTTTGGGACATATGATTTATTTATTGTCTAAGAGTAACATCAGATCAAGTCCATGAATTGTATTAAAACCAAAAGACAGCGGTTTTGGATATTGTTGATTCAGCCCTTGGGTACCTATGTAAACAAAAGTATGAATTTTATTGAGCTCTGTCCTTGTTTTGTGATTGGACTTAGGCATATGTTGATGCAGACAGTCATGTTGATGCAGTGACTGGTCTACTGATGGGCTGATCAAATTTCATTAGTAGACTTTTATGCTAAATTAGTATGCTAAACTGTCTTTTAAATTATATTAAAAATACTTAGCCTTTTTTTTTTTTTGCTGTCTTTAAATTGTAAGAAAAACTTGCCAAATTATGGAAAATAATAAGATAATATTTCAGTGTCTAAATACAGCACACAAAAATACTAAAATAATAACACAAAAATACTATGATTCAACAAATCAACATCAACAAGTGGTAAACGTCGCGGCGTGCAATGAACTGGAAGTTGATCTGGCAGCACTATCCTTATCTTCAGGGAAGATGTTTTTATTTTATTCGGCTTATAATTCCTTAATAAATGTAGTATTTAATCTCGATGTACTCTGTCTTTGATATGATTTAAATCAAATTCCTCGTCATTATAAATATCACGAATACACATCAAATAATTTTCTGGTTGTAATTTTCTAATTTCGACTAAGCGTAATGTATGCTTTACGCATGCGAACCGAATTCTGCTAATTTCAGGATTGTGAGAACAATAAAACATTTGTTTTTACTGTAAAAATCGAAATTAGCTCAGCTGCGCTTGAGCTCAAAACCTGAAACTTCACACAAAATTTAGCGCTTTTCCTACTGTGTCAAATTATCAAGCTAGCTAAACCTAAGAGAAAAGTTGAAAATCACTAACAGTAAAAAATTAGAAATATGACCAAATGGCAAATACGGGATAAAATTAGGTTTTCTTATTTTTCAGACTTCTTAGAACATAACAATATAACTCCCTTAGACAGGAGCAAATATTCTAATATTCTAACAGATTTAGTTGAATCTAACAAATGAGGTAAAAAAATACATCATTCTATAGCTCACAAATAATTTCTGTCAAGGTGAAATTTTGTTATCATTTATAAAGAAATAAATTTGAATTTATGATCTGAAATAAATTCATATTATAAATTAAGTTTATTAAAATATTAGCAAAAACTCCAAACATTTTGCAGCATATGTTACTTAGTTAGCTAAATGCTGATTCATAAGCCACCATTACTCTCCAAGACACATGATTTTTCATGTGCAATTTAATTGTCTATCACCAATCCGTTGGTAGCAAATCTTAGTGCATATGAGAACGAATGTATTAATCACACTGTGTTTTCCCATGTGGATGGACTGGTACAAATGCTAGGAAAAACTTGTTTGAATATATGATTGCTTGTGTAGACTGAATTTTAAACTGTACAAGAAATTATTCTGTCTGATTTTTTTTTTTCTTTTCCCCAGGTGACAAGATCTGCTTAAGTACATATGACTGTAATCCTGGAATAAATATGATATGCCTGAAGCAAACTCTTCTAAGTCATCTGGAGGTTTATAAATTTTGTATACATTTATATTAGGGAAAACACTTTTTTTTTCATTCTTTTCAGTTTGGAATAATTTAATATCAAATCATAAAATTTTCTCGTATTTACAATATCTTCCAGTAAAACTGTTATTTTCATCAATAAGTATTTTAACAGGTTTTATGTTCCTTTACATATATTAGTTAGTTATTTGTGTAATACACAAATTAGAGTTCTTTATTCTTTAATTGCTTAGATGTTTATAATAATTTTCTAAACTTAGTACATGGAGAGACTTTAATAAGAGAAATTAGTTCTTCAATTTCAATATGTGTGAAATGGAATTCACAAAGCCTAGTTTCAGGGCATTTCAGTGCTTCTTTGATTGGAACAATAATAAACAGTGACTTAACATCAAAAGAAGCCATAACATAACAGGAAAGAAGCCATAACAGGGAAAATATTTAAGTTTATCGATGACTTACGTGTAAATATTGTTTGAAAGAAAAGGAAAAAATTTAGAAACTAAATTTTTGGCTAAAGGATATGCTGCTTTCCCATAGTGAGAAGTTACAGGTCAAAAAGGAAATCCAATTTTGTGAACTTTAGAGAAAGCATAAAATCTAGCACATACATTTAGCAATAGGTGGAATGAGGGATTTTTTAAACTGAGTTGAAAGTATATGAGAAGATTTAACAGCTGTTTTAACTTAGTATTTACAGTGGGAAGATTAACAGGAGTAGTGGTACGAGACAACTGGAGTGTGAGCTATTGGAATTTAGAAGTAAGGACTTTTTTATGGTTCTAACAAGCAGCTGCAGTTCTAGACTAAGTTTTAAGATCAAAAGAGGAAACATTTAAAGTAGAATTGACAATTTTCAAATCAAGGGTATGTTTTTCATATTCAGTTTTAGACAAACATTTGCAGATGTTTCTTATAATGTGACAAATGTTCTTATAATTTCTTATAATGTTCTTATCCACGATTGCTTGAATTTAAGTGTAATTTTGAAACATGAACAGAAGATTCAATATTTCAATATTGCATTTGACTTGTATAAATTTGGGAATGATATTATGATGTTGCATTTGACCAAAAAATGGAGCTAATTCAAGAATTTATTTGCTTAAAGTCTAACTTACAAAATCAGTGTTTAAGCTAAAAGGGGAATAAGTAGGAAAAGTTGGTGAACGCTAAAAGTAATAATGCAAAACACATCTAAAATATGAAATAACAATAAGAAAAACATTAAACTGAAACTACTAATCAATAGAATACAATACAAAATGGAATTGAACATTAAAGATTTAACAAACAAATATGCAAAAGAAAATCTGAGAAAATAAATGAATATTAAAGAGAAATACAAAAAAAAAAAAAAACTCACCGAATTCCCAAAAATAAATCAAGCAACCAGGTGGAGTTCCAATGCAGAAAACAAAATGGTGCTGACAAATGAACAAAATTGGACAATAAAAATCAAAAGAAAAGAGAAGCATGCCAAAGAAAAACATGAAATTAGTCAAAGCAACAACTTTCTGTTTTGATATATTTTAATCAAACCTCTTACAGTTTCGAGGACAACAGCTGCAGCACCCTTATCAGAAGAAAAGAAGTTCTGCAAAGCAGACAGCTGTATTTATACCAAAAGCCGAGCAGTAAAATTAACAGGGAATGCCATCTTTCCACACAAGCAGTAATAAAACATGGAAAATTAAGTTAATAATAGCATTTTAAAGCATTTCAGAAAACTGGATTATAATTAAATTCATTAACTAAACAAGTTAAATTAGACATAAGTATTAAAGTATAAGTTAAACTTTTCAAAGACTTCTAAAACTTCATCTCCTCAAATCCATTGCCCCTGTTGAAAAAGATTTTTAATTCTCTAAAATTGTAGAAACATGGAAAGATAGAATCTACCACTTAATTATGCATAATGTGAATTTTAATAGCAAATAGTTTTTTCGTGTCTGAGCCAAAAGGAAATGAAGGTCATTCTGATCCTGATATCATTGTTTCCAAAGTTGATAATGGTTGCTGTTATGAACAAAAACATGTACATTGATGAAGTCACTAAATTGATAAATACAGGTGTATATTGCTCGAACTCTAAGGAACTCTCAACTTCTGACCTTACCACAGCTGTTAAATCTTTTCTTCTCAGTTTAAAAAATCACTCATTCCACCTATTGCTGAATTTTATGCTCTCCCCAAAGTCCTAAAAATTGGGATTTCTTTTCAACCTGTATTTTCTAACTTAGCAGCAAGTTCTATGGCCAGATATTTAGTTTCTGAAATTTCTCCTTCACTTTCAAATAATATTTACACTGTAAAGACTTCTTTTTATGTCATCGATGAACTTAAAGATATTTGTTCCCTGCACTCAGTTATGGTTTCTTTTGATGTTAAGTTGTTGTCACCAAGCATGTAAAGCTAATGTTCCAAGTAAGCTAAAATACCTTGAAATTAGGCTTTGCAAATTCTTTTCCATGCATATTGAAATTGAAGAGCTAATTTCTCTTATTAAAGTCTGTTTGAATCTTAACCCACCTTCATTTCTCCAAAATAAATATTATTCTAAAATTTAAGTTATTAACTATGAGTAATCCTCTCAGCCCTTTACTTACAACCCTTTTTTCTTTGTTTGCCTCCCCATCCCAAGTCATGTCATCCAGCTAAGCAAAAAAATGGCTTCTTTTATTATTATGTATTTTGCAAAGTGTGCTGTTTAGAATCTTGCTGTTGATACTGACAGAGGATTTTTCTCCCATGGTTATTGATAAAGCCTTAAAAAATATTCATCTTGCCATCAAAGAAGACATTCTACTATTAGAAATAACATTAATAATTTCACTGTTCTTTCATTATGTCCCTCTATCAGTTCCAAAATTACAAGAATTTTTCAATTTTGAAATCATTTTCTCGCCTATCAATAAAATCCATGGTTCAACAAGGGTTTTATTTCGACTTTAATTCTTGGAGAATTTATAGCATAATCATCTCAGTGTGATTTAAGATACATTGGCCAAGCTAAAAGAGCACAAGGGTGAAATTTTGTGTCAAAGAACATGAATCTTGCATCTGAAAAGAAGACAGAAACAAATCTTCTATAGCTGATCATTGTGGGAAATTTAATCACAGTTTTGACATTAGGTTTAAAGGAAAATATTCAAATAGCTTCTTGAATGGATGAATTGGATATCCTTTGAGCTTTTCAGCTTTCACAAGAATTTATCTTGTTAAGTTAATGATTTTAATTCCAATCTATTTCTTCCTAATGCTTTTAAAATGTTAATTAAATTTTCGTGTTTTGTGTCTACACTTTTGCTCAAAATATAAGCAACAAAGGTGAAACATGGAATAAAACAAAAACTATTTGATGGATATGCATAAAATTTATCCAAGATGTTGGTGGGGCATTACTAGACCACATTCCAAAGAATAAAGCAAAGACATACAAAAACACAGGCATAATGACCATCACATTGCGAGATAATATGCAGTGAAAACATCATGCTAATAATGGGTATGATACCCTCTAGCTGAAATGCATTCTTGAAAATGGCGAGGCAAGCTGACAATAATGTCATTGATCACTTTTTTGTCAGTAGCTCCCATTTCTGTCATAATGCATGTCAGTACTTTGGAGGGTGCCTCGCAGCACACTTCAACCTGATATCCATTGCCTCGCACATTCTCTATGGTCCATGGGATTCAGGTCTGGTGATCTTGCAGCCCAAGGCAGATGTGGAATGGTTTCACTGTCCAGATAATTCCGAACCTCTCAAGCTCTATACAGGCATTGTCATCCATAAATTTCAGTACCCATTGCAAAAATAAAAAGATGCACAAAAGAGTGTAATGTAATATACAAGTGTGCTGCAACCATCCTGGCCAATAATAATCGCCCTCATATTTAACACAACACATCCAAGCACAAGAGGGTATAGAATTTCATTGTGATATTGGGCGGCTATGACTGAACCACCAGGAATATCATGTAGAGGTTAATGTGGCCATTGTATGCTTAATTTCCCTTTCTACATTTGTGGCTTTTCTTTTAGTGTGTGATGCTTATTTTTTTAGCACAAGTGTATTTCATTGGACTGATGGCAATACCTTCGTGTTCATTTTACTGTTTGGCTTTTGATATAAATACAGCTTTCTTCTTTGTAGAATTTGTTTTCTCTTGATGATTAAGAACTTGCACCTGTTGCCCTTAAAATCGATAGAGTCTTGTTTAAAATATATGCCAAACAGTAGGTTGTTGCTTTACCTAATTTTGTAACAAATGTGCTCCTCATAAGAAAAAACTTGCATCAGTGCATGTGCATAGTTAAAGAATTCTTGCACACATAAAATTCTAATATTTATATCCTTTATCTGAGATATATTAACAGGTCCTGTGTATTGAAGTATCATGTATGAATCTGTAATTTTTAATTAACTTTTCCATTATTCTAATCCAGGATATCTTGTATAAGTAACAAATCAAGCTATCGATTTTTGTAATGTTATTTGTATCTTGTTACATTTTTTATTTTAGTGTTAACCCAAAAGCTTTTCATCACAGTTTAAAGTCACTTTCAATGAGGATTCCATTTAGTTACATTAAGAAAATATACCATGTTTCATTAATTTTCTTTTCTTCTTTTATGTTGATTTTTTATTTTAAGTTTCATACATTCTCTTTTAAAGGTATCATTAATTATATTAGTCATATGAAGTTAAAGAGAATGAAATGGCAGAGTGATGAAAGATTTCATTCAAAAGGTGTTTATTTCAAGGAGTTATAAAATCAAGATTTTGTTCATTATGAATTTTTTCTTTCTTCTTAGTGTCAAAGTTCATTGAAATATTATTTATGCTCTTTTCATTTGTATCCATAACGATTCTAAAGTATTGAAAAGTAATCCACTTTCTTTGATTTATGATTTATTAATTTAAAGAAAACTTTATGTAAAAGGAAAAATAAATGAAATTTTAAGTGAATACATTTAAATTTTTGTTGTTTATATTCCTTCATAAAAATAAAGCAATTAAACAACATTACATTAACAATTACATTAGAAGCAATGAAACAACAGCTAAATTATTCAAAAGACAGGAAATTAATATCTTTTATGTGTAATGCAATACCTTGGCATTTTTGCTTTATTTTTATGCATTTTATTTTAAAATTGCTTTTTCTTTGATCTAGGATCAAGATGACATTTTGATCAAAGTTCATGAAGCCTATATTTCAAGTCTCAAATCACACTTCTCACATATCAAAAACTGAAGATTATTTTGTTGTTTTATATATATCAGATCATTCCAAATGCTCTGCCATTTAATGGTGAAAGCTGCAGATGTGAGCATATGTCAAAGGTAGTTTCTGAAATTTCTGAAATGAGAAAGTAATTTAACTATACAGAGTAGGATGTTTTGAGCTTTGAAGATGGTCACATATTAATGAGATGTATCTTTAAGAAAATCTTCAAAAGGCATTTAATAAAATCTTAAGAAGAGACTTATCAAGAATAGAAATTTTGTCACTTGCTTGCAGTAGGCTGGAAAGTTTTGAAGATAGATGTATGTTGCTCTTACTTGAAATAAAAAATCGCAGTACATTGGCATTTGATATCAATTTTTGTCTTGGCGCAAAATGATACTTCATCGTCAGAATAAATTCAAGTGATAAAACATAGATGTTATATGAAAATTCCTTACTTGAATAACTGTGGTTATCATCCAATAATATTTTAAAAAATTCTGCTATGTATGGAGATAAAAGTTTTATTGTGTGTTTAGTGAGTATGGAAAAATGTAATTCATCATAAGCTCCTCAAGTCTGGTAAAACTATGAATGGCACTGCATGTTAATTCCTTATCTTTGTGCCAAACTGCAGTAAGGCCACTTGGAATAACCAACTAGAAAAGACTTCTGTATGAAACTGTATGAAAACACATCATTCTTCAGAAAACATGCAATAAAAAAGGGGGAAGGAATCTAAATAGAAGTTTTTCTTAATTCACTATGCAGACTAGTTACAATTTTTTTTGATTGGTATGTTTTGATGAATGCAGCATCTTTTACCTGATACAAAAATCAGGATATTTGATGTACTGCACATATTAGTTAAGTTTTTTGAAAAATAGTATTAGTTATGTGATTCCCAGATGGGCAAAAGTTATAGACAATTGTATTCATTATATTTTTGATTAACATATGGTGCTGTGCTTGTGATATTACTTCAGAAGTGCTCATAAAAAATGACAATTTTCACAGTGAGTCTGAAAAATGATTACATGTTGTATTTCATTATATTCATCAATAAGAAATGTTTTATTATTATTATCATCATTATTCTTGTTTTAAAGTCACTTCTGAGTTATTCAGTGCCATAATTCATTTTTTAAATGCTGTATCATTTTTATGTATAATTTTTTAAAATTATGTGTTTATGCAAAATTTATTCTATTACTGCAATGTTTGCTGTTCTATGAATGCATGCTATTGAGAATTTTCAGTTACATTTTGCGTAAACTTCAGGTTGGTAAAAGAAAGGGAAAGAAACAATGATTTGTCTTTTGCACCAATCATGATTCTATATTTTGTAAAATTTTATCTGTTGCCTGTCATAAATAGTCAATATTTCAAATAAATTATTTAAATTTATATTTGAAATACCAGTCATGTGTGCAGTGTTCCAGAATAATCTTGTTGTCTCTTGTGATATCATTATTATATGTTCCTGTCTGTCAAACTGTCTTTTAATGCAGTTTGAATGATTTTTTAACTTTTTATGTGCCCTTGTTTCTCTTGTAACACATAAATGCTGTAATCTCTGTGATTTTCAATTTAATGCCTTTTACTTGTTCATTGATTATGATACAAGAATTATATGTAAAGAAGAACAAAAAAGTTTAACTGCTTAAATTGATCACGATGCACATTTTTGTCTCTTTTATATGTAATTATTTTTATTGATCATCTGAATAGCATAATAATCTAGCAGTCTCTTCCACTCTGCCTATTTAGTTGTTGCATTTTTTTTCACACAGAACTCCAAAAATTTGTTGATAATCAGACAATTTTATATGCTTTGCATAGCTATGTTCATTCTTAAACTTTTAATTGCTGTCGTTAAAATAAAACAAAAATTCATTTATACAGGTTGAGTTTTGGAAAGTAATAGTTGAAAGTACTATGAAGTTTATGTAAATGCTGAGGTAAAAATTTAATGGTATCTATGATTTTTTAGGAAAATATTTCAAGTTTGATAACAGGCATGTATTTTTCATAAAGAGCATGGTATTTTTCATAATTTTCTCAGCATTATTTAATTTTATATTGCATAATCGCAAGAAATTATATGAAAAGGACAACTGAAGCATATTACAGTTAATATTTTGAGGACTGATTTGTTATGATCTTAAAAAGGGCTAAAATTACTTGATTTAAAGGAATGCTTACTCATATGTCATAAAATAATATTGCTTGGTTTTATATCAGTCTACAAGCAAATTATGAGATACTGACTAAGAAAATGTATAAACTTTTGCTAATGTAAAATATGTACAAGAATAATAACTTGGTTATAAATAGCATAGCTTGATTTAGTTAAAATATCTTGTAATGTTTTTCTTTCTATGATGGATGAACACAAATTGGACTTTCTATTCAAAATGAATTTTGAGTTGCTGTGTGTAATTACATTGAGACTGAAATGCATCATTTAACATTCTAAATTTGTAATTGTGTAATTATGTAAATAGCATTTTGGCAACCTGGTTTTGTCTTACAGGCCAATTTCTATTTCTGTTAGGTGCTATGACAGCTACAGTAATGTGAAGATTTACTTCCCTTTTTCATTTTCTGTAATTTTCTAAGCCAGGATTTGCTTAATGTTCACTATTTACAAAACAAACCAGAACATTTTCTCATCATTAGTTTTATCACCAATAGTTTTTTCACCAGTTTTTCTCGCCTACTGGTAGACTACACATTCCAAATAACACAGGCAGCCTCATTTCCACTTGCATGACATATTTAACAGCCACTTGCTTTTGAAACAATAAAGGTCTGCAGTCACAGTTTTTTTAGCTTTATTTCCATTGTTTATCTGTACAGATTTTGTTGTGAGTTAAATATCTAGAATATATACTTTATATACTTTCAGTATTTTGTGTTTGTGTGCTATAAAAAATTTTTGCTACATCTCTTTTGTTTAGATTATCAGTTTTGAATTGACTTGATATCAAAAATAAATAAGGTCCTAACTTTAAGTGTTCATGTTCAGCTTAAATTAATAGATTTGTAAAGTTAATAATAATTATTATTATTATTTTATTATTATTATTTATTGTTATATTATTATTATTATTATTATTATATTCATTTCTTTTTTCCCCACCCTCCTCATTAGTGACAAAAAATGTATGAGTATTCTGGACTTTTGAAAGAACTCTTAAATTAAATGAAAATCAGGGTACTTTCAACTATTGAAAATGACAGAAATGTTTTTAGAAGAATCCTTGATGTAACAAAGAGAAATAATATCCCCTGATGGTGTCTGTTAGAAGAATTTCTAGTAGTTAACATAAATTTTTTTCATTCACCAACATTTATTTCTTCTGAATGCTGATTTTTTTTTTTTTTTTTTTTTTTGTTTGTTGTTTGTTTGTTTAAATTGCATTATTTTAGTTTGTTTAGTCATACATTAATCTTTTAGAATTAAATGATGAATTTCACGATTAAATATACCTTAGTGTGTCAAAAAAATGCACGTATCTAAGAAATTTCTTCGATTATGAAAAAAACTTAGGATGAAGAAATAAAGATTAAAAAAAAAAGTGATTAAAATCAGATAGCAATCAGCCCTTTTATTGAGAAAATACTGATTTAGAATTGTGCATTACAACTGGTCTAAGGATGTTTTTATTCTATCGTTTAACAGTTAAAATGTTTCTAAGAATTGGTAAAAGGGAGCAGTCCTCATATAAAACTGCTGAACACTGGTAGTTCCAACCTGGATTCAAATTCAGGCAAATGAGCTGGCTGCAGGGGCGTTTTCCTGGTTTTCATCATGTGTAAGGTGTATACGAGCCAATTCCCCTTAGAAAGTCCTCCACAAAAACATCCCTCCACTTAAACAGATAGCCTAATGTGCTTTGCCATTAATAAACTAGTCACACTATAATGCAAGACTGATGAAAGTATGCCACCACACAATCACATGGGATAAGCAGTACTAGTAAATATTTTTCATATACAAATTCTCAAGTTGTTTGATTAAAAACTGTGATTAGAATATGGTATGGCTTCCATTTTGTACATTCTGAACTTAGTATTGATCCTCAGAAGTTGGTGATAGTTATTAAAATGCATGCTGACACTGAAATTCAGTTTCTGCCAGCCTTTTTGCAGAAGTACTTTGTGACATTACATAACCTCGATATATGGGTAAGTGGTTCGAAATAGCATAACATGGCTGTTGGTATACTTACAGCAACTCTGACTACCACACAAACCTCCTAAGTAGTTATTTTAGTCCTCTTGCTGTTTCACATAATTTATGAATATGTTTTTTTGAATCATTATCAAAAGTATCTCTGTGACCTTCATGCCAAGCTATAGTTGGTATAACTAGCCCACTTCCAGGAAGGTGGTCCTGTAACTTGGTCAAACTCTTTCAAGTGTTTTTACTATAGTCAGTTTAATCTTTGAAGTACGCCATAAATTTATTTTGAGAATGTGCATTTCCTGTGGACTTTAAATAACTATATACTTTTGTTGAATGTAGCATGTCTAGCCAAGAAGTGTTTGCATATTAAGCTTCAAGAGTGTTTGGTCATTTTTCTAAGTGTGCAGAATTTTTAGACATAAACTTACATATTAGAAGTAAAGACATCTCTTAAATTGTTACAAATTTGTTTAATTTGCAAATGAAAATGCTAAGCAACATTTTTCCAAAAAGTGTTTTCAGTATAAATAAATTGATTAAATCATCAGTGCTATGAAAAGGATTGAAGCATGCTAAATTTCTTTCCTCGTTTCCTCCTATTTCTTTGAATTTATGTACTTTAACATATCAAAATGCTTTAATTGACCACACTAAGTGCTTATAACTTTTTTTGGGTCATTAAAAAGCAACTAAGCAATTTATAAATCTTACCTCAAAATATTTTCCAAGTTTGTGTTGCTTCAATTTCTGTATGCCTCTTAATTACTTTTGTTGTGATATGTGGAGCAGTGAAAATAATTAAACATCTTTGTATTGTAAATATGCATTTCCTAGTTCCTTATATTTCATTTTGGAATATGTCATATGTGTTCATTTGTTGATGTATTTTCTAGTCATTTGAGATGGCTTCAATAACAACCAACTATTTGATAGATCATTTACCTCTCGAACATTTTAATTCTTAGTATTGATATTTTAGCATTAATTACTATGTTCAAATGTGTATAAGTTGTATTATGTTCTAAAATAATAACCGTGGAGAAAAATAGAAAAAACTCGGAAATCCTGCTAAGGACTGAGAGTACTTATGATGAAAACAATATGATAATTACTGGGGGAAAAACTGTACATGATCCTACAGTATTTGATCAATATTATCTAACTAAATTTTAGCATTTAACTATTTTGCCACTTAGTTGAATTTTCCAGTATTCTCTTCTGTTTCTGTATACATCTTAAGTTAATTTTGAAAAGCTATAAAACTAGTTTTAAGTTAGCATTCCTAACAAATATCTGCAACAATTACAGAATAACTATGAGCTTGTGCATATGAGTTTAAAATCAGTCTGTGAATCTAAACTCGGTAATTGTATTGTATTTTATATGTACACTATGCAAAAAAAGGGGGGACAGTTCTGTATCCCTCTTATTCTACTGGGCTGATTGATGAAATTCAAATTGCATTTTTTAAGTCTCGAAAGCGCGACTTAGGATATGTATTAGATTTATATATAGCATTGTTCTAATATAGGTATTTTGACACACAATCGGACTTTTCTGAAATGACATACCAATTTTTGTTCATATTTCAATTCTACGACTCAAATTATGCCAAATTGCTACGTTTTGTAAACATTGCACGAGTAATTTTTAAAAAATTATCTCTTAAAATTTTAGCTTCTCAATGTTAATTGAATTTGGTATATGTTTATTAATCTCTATTTTTTTAATAAACTTATTTGATTCTTCCTTTCATATTTCGAAATTTAGGTTCATTTCAAATAAAAGTCACCCATTTTTTTATAATTTATTTTTAAAATCTGTATTTTTAAATAATTTTTTGAAAAAATTTTTGAATTATAATCTGTAAAGTTTTTACCATCATCTTAAAGTAGACGTATTTCCAAGCGAACCTGCAAAAAAATTAGAGTTCTTTTATTCACAATTTCCAAAGATGTACATGAATTTATATATTGGCACGTTTTGAAAATTAATATTTGTTGAAAGCGATAATAACATCAAATGTGGTTTTGTTAAACTTATTTGAAAATAATGTTACATTTTTCCTATTCTTCTTTTCTGACACCAGTTGTTGCATTATTATCTTCCTTCACGTTCGTAGATTTGGAGTGAATAACAACAACACTTGATGAAGTATCGAAACACACTTTATTTACCAATATTCTCAGAACAGCTCCAAAACACGTTTTACAGTCGTCGA